GAAGAGATTTGCCGGGCATGTAGCACGAACGGGGGAGACGAGGAATGCATATAGGATATTGGTGGGAAAGCCAGAAGGAAAGAGACCACTGGGAAGACCAAGGCGTAGGTTGGTGGACAATATTAAAATATATCTTAGAGAGATAAGATGGGATGGTATTGATTGGATTGATCTGGCTCAGGATAGGGACCAGTGGAGGGCTCTTGTGAACACGGTAATGAACCTTCGGGTTCCATAAAATGCTGGGAAATTCTTGAGTAGCTGCAGAATTGGCGGCTCCTCCAGAAGGGCTCAGCTCCATGAGTAAGTGGCCGCGCGGTCTAAGGCATGAACCGTCTTCGCCCGATCAAACACTGGGATCGTGGGTTCTAATCCCACACGAGGTACGGATGTACAATGTACGAGGGTAATGTACAATGTTGGAAAACCACTGATATTTAGCTTCTAACTATCTAGACGTGGCGATATAAGTTTTCACTATATTCTCAAGTAAAAAATAATAATACTAAAGAGTATTCGAAATTTTTTTGTTTCTGGAATATGGTTGTGCATTTTTATTTATTAACTTATTTCTTTTGCTGAGATAGTTCGAATTAGGGCCCAAAATTCTTAATTGCCTAGAAGTCTGCGTGACACGGCAAATTTTTGAAAGAAACTATTAGGAATTTTCTTCAGAGAAAATTTCCCGTATTTCTGTTGGTAACACGTTATCATAGCACTTACAAAGCGGTGCGGATTAAATGTTGTTTAAATCTAAACTTTGCATGCTTGTGGTTGCGTTTATATTATTTACCAAAACTGCCTTCTTTCCTTACGATTATACCACATTCTACAGTCAAATTAACCGTACACTTGAGATAAGGTCCACATTTTGCATTACAATACTGTAGGCTGCTTCTCCCTCTCTATGGTTCTATAGCCCTTCGGACATTGGCCGCTTTTTCACTTTCTTAATCCTATACACAGTCGGTAGGACTGCTTGGATGGGGGATCAGTCCGTCGCAAGGCCGCTACATACACACAGAACAACACAAACACAAAATAAACACACAAAAATCCATGCTTGAGTGTGATTCGAACTCAAGATTCCAGTGTTCAACCGGGCGAAGACGGTTCATGCCTTAGGGGGCCCATACACGTACGAGTCTGGCTCGCGAGTCCGACTTAGCTCGGGTTCCAATGAGCCAAACTCATCCGTGTGTGGTGAAATTAATCCGAGCCCGGCTCCTCGCCTTAGGCCGCGCGGCCTCTGTGATGTAATAATAATATAATAATCAGATCAATGGCCTCCAAATCATTCCAGCATAAAAGATCCAACTGATGCATCAGTATCTTTATATATGAATGTATTTCCTTATAAAAATTCTTTTTGTTCTCTTACACTCTGAAAGGGACGATATGTGCATCTGAGACAAATATTTGACATTGTTTGAAGTTATGAAAAAAAGAATTCTGTTTAGTGCACATTGCATATGCCACAAACTTCCCAGGTATGTAATCAGCCAGCCTTTGGCTATTTCCTTAAAAGTAATCTACGAGATTTCATCGGAATCCCATTTCATCCCTAAACCCAGGGCCCCTCTACTAACAGCACGCGCTGATCTCTCTCCTGTTTCCCTTCATCATGAGACGAATAAGAATTCTCCAATCCCATTAGGTCTTCCTCGCTTTGTGGATCCTTCGTTCCGAGGACCGCTCCCGAAGGACCGGAAGATTCCCATAAAAAAAATACAGAACGTCTGAAGCTTTGAAACTGACGTCGAATTTTTTAACTGATGGGGAGGGGGTGAGATTTAAAAGTTGGATTGTAATCTTAGTTAAGAAACTGCAGTAAGCGTTAGGTTCGTGCATTAACCCCTCCCCAAGAAAAACATAAGGAAAATAAAATAAAAAGAACATTGCAGAATGTTGCGTGACTTGATCAGTCAATATTATTGCCAAGCGTGTTATTGTGACGTCACCTAGCATCGCGTGACGCTGACAGTCTTGTTAACAGACTTAAGTACCTGCTGCTTACTGAGGGAGTTGATTGTCTGCAGCAACAGGGGGCTCTATGCATTTAACGACCCGTTAAAACAGACGCCTGAAAATTTGTACTGTACATATTGACAGATTCATTTTGAACCTTAATCTCACTCATACATTTCCTTCCTTCCAGCCAAAATGCACTGTAAGAAATTCATGTACAAACATCTAGATTCGATTTCAAACTAAATTAATGTTTGTTTCGTGTCTTGTATGACAAAATATGTTTCAAAATTGTGACAGAGTAATTATTGTGAATACTGGACACCAAGGCTTGCCGGTGGTTATCTAACATGTGCCATTACCAACATCTGCGGACATCTGTGACGGCTTCTATTATAGAAATTTGTCCAATCTTAATTCAATCTTAATTCTTGCATCTGCGTAGGTATTTACTTCCCTGTGGTTCTATATGACACAATTTAATTGACAATCCCATCGGGACAATTTATAAACATTTTAAATGCCTGTTTCCCTGCCTCCTGCCTGCGGTATGTTCATATTGTGCGGAATCTAAGGCCGCTATGAAGAATATGTTCGTCAGGTGCTACGGTGAACAAGGCATAACAGCCTAGGAAAAAAAATTTGGAGTAAGTCCTCGTTATAACGGACTAATAAGGGGGAGACGGTGTCCATTACCGTTGACGTACGCTTTAACCAAAATATGGGGTATTCACGGAAGTACAACATAGGATACATGGCCAATGCATGCAATATACATATAAACAAAAACAAACTCCGTGACCTGTAGGCCGTAAGTGAAACTATACTGACAGACCGAACGCGAAGTTAGTGCCAAATTTTGTGGATACAGGGTGTAGTGTGGTTAGCGCAACAGATCCCCACGGCCGTTAATTTTGTTTTTCTAGACCGGAGCCGCTATTTCCTTGAAATAGCCCCTGAATTATCCTCACGAGTCTTAGTGGACCACGTTCCAGACCCACTACTTTTCAGAACATCTGGTAGCGCCGGGAATCGAATCCGGGACCTCTGGGTCTGTAGCCAAGAGCTCTGACCACTAGACCACAGAGGATGTCTCACATAGAAACACATAATGTGATTATTTAAAGTCTTTTATATTGGAGTTCTTTTTTAATTTAAATAGTTTTCTAACTACAAAATATTCATAATACCTCAACATCCCTAAAAATTCACAACTCTACACAGCCAGATCTTGTCCGTTATAAGTCTATAACAAGGGGTTACTGTATTATTATTTTTACATCTTCCAGACTTCATTAGTCCTCTCGTTCAAGTCTGTATATTTTTTGTATACGGCTAATAAATACAGATATCCCTACTAGAAACCTTTTAAAAATTGGTAATAAAAGAAACCCTCCACAGCGGCCGCGCGATCGAAGGCCTGAACTTTCCTTCTCCCGCTCGAACGCTCAGATTGTGGGTTTCGAATCCCACTTAAGGCATGTATGTCTGTGTGCGTTTATTCTGTGTTTGTGTTAGGTAGCGGCCTTACGAAGGACTGATCCCCCGTCGAAGGAGTCCTACCGACTGTCTTCATTCATCATTCATCTGTAATCTGTCAAGACGACAGGTCCACAGTCTCTTCCAAAACAGTTCCTCCACTTAATGCGATCTAGAGCTTTCTCCTTCAAATGAAAATATCCTCTTCTGTCCCCAAGGTCATCCAGCATCTTCTTACGTCTTCTTCCTCGTCTTCTTGTCACTTCTATCCGCCCCTCTATCTTTCCTTCAATAACTTCTTTAAGAAGGCAGTTACCGCGTAAGATATGACCAATCCAATTAGCCTTCCGTTTTCTTATTTCGTGTAGGATATTCCTCTGCCCATTGACTCTAAATAACACTTCTTCATTTCTCACATAATCGGTCCAACTGATCTTCTCCATCCTTCTCCAACACCACATTTCGAAGCTTTCCAGGTGTTTCTGATCTACTGCCCTAAGTGTCCAAGTTTCAGGCCCATACCGACTGTCTACAAGATTAAAATACTGAAGTGAAACGAAGCGCTTCCCTTATGCTCCAGAAGGGAGATACACAGGAAACAATGTTGAATGATCAATAAAAGAAGATTATAGCAGACAAGTGGATACAATTAAAAGCTGTGATAATTTTTACCACCGCGATGTGGGTGGCTGTACCCAGAAGACTTCAAAACGAGCACCGCCCAAAGTCTCATGTGAGAGTTAATGTTCTTACGGCGGTGGTAATGAAGATATGACTTCGTATTATCTTGTAGATAGTTGGTAAACCTACCCCGGTAACAGGCCGTGGAAGCCCATAGAGTTGTGAGACGCCGAGATTGTCACATTTTCTAGAAAATCGGCTCGCAGATGGCGGTAAGGTTGTCAACCTTACGCGCTCTCCGGCCTCCCCTTGCACGCCGGAAGATTCCTGGTACTCATTTCTGTTAGATGCTGAATCGACCCCAGAGCCATAGTGCGGCTGGAAGGATTAGGTCAATTGAAAAACCCAATAACCTCATCGGGAAGAGAACTCACGACCTTCCGACTTGTAACATAGTGCCTCAACCAACTACTCTACCGCGTGCCTCCCTTGCAGATAGTTACAAACGTATAACAGGGAACTCCTGCCTCCATCATCAGGGTAAAAGACGGAGGCAGAAAATCTCTCCGAAACGCTCCTATTTGTCAGATTATATTGAATCACATCCAAGAAGACAAAATTACTGAGGTCACATATTCGTCACTTAAGTCTGCATCAATGAATTTTGGTATATTGGTCTTTTGTGGAATTCTACACGCAGAAGTCACTTGATACCGTAAACGTGTGTGCGTTTTTTTTTTACTACAGTGCGTGAGGAAAACCACAAACAAGCAGCAAAAGAGGTGAAAGCACCTCTCATTAACAACATTTGCGCCTCAAGCACGGTAAGGAAGAACATGCGAAACACTTGTACTGTATGGACAGCTAAAACTGACACCAACTGCTTGGCCAACTGCTTGGCCAACTGTTGCTTTTTGTTTCGCATTACATACCTTGGTCTGGGGTTTCGGAATGACCGCTTCCAATCCTCATGTGCCCTGGGGCCAGGACTAGACCAAGTGGATGGCACAAAACAAACGCGTGTTGGCAAGTGGGTTGGTTGGATGGATGTTTGAAAGGTCCTCTGTGGCCACGAGTTCTGCAACATTAATCACAATGTTCCTTACAGCTTTTCCTCTTTCTCTTTCTCAAGACTCCATAGTTTAATTACATCACAGCGTAATATAACAATGCATTTAACAAACTTGTACATTAAAATGATAAGGTTAGGTGAAGTTGTCTCTGTGCTTAATTCATATAAACATTGGTTGAGGCACTATGCTACAAAACTGAAGGTCGCGGGTTTAATTCCCGATGTCGTTGGATTTTTCAATTGACTTAATCTTCCCATCCGCACTATGGTCCTCGGGTCGACTCAGCCTCTAACAGAAATGAGTACCAGGAATCTTCCTGGGGTGCTAAGGGCGGCCGGCGCGTAAGGTTGAAAATTTCACCGCCATCTATGTGATGAGCGTCTAGAAAATGTGGAAGTCTCGACGTCTCACAACCCTATGGGCCTCCACGGCCTGTTTCAGAGATAACTTCACTTTTTGTTAACCTTTATCACGACATGAAGACGTAAGGGGAGTGGAGGCATACAACGGCACTAGATGGAGCTGAGCGTTCACCTTCATGGCCGGATAGCTTTATCCGCGAGGAAACAGACAGCGTATCCTTTATACAGGAGGCTGGGGGGGACCTATAGCCAAGAATTGAAGCCCGGTCGTCCAGTAGGTAGCCTATCGCTATACTGACTGAACATGAAATCTCTGGTTCTGTGTTACATCTACATTAGGCCGCGCCATAGCTCAAGCGGTTAGTCGCTGACTTCCCATCGCGGCGGCCCGGGTTCGAACCTGGGTCTGGTCAAGTGGGATTTGTGGTGGACAAAGTGGAGCTGGGGCAGGTTTCCTCCGAGTACTTCGGTTCCCCTGCCAATTTTCATTCCACTAATTGTTCCACAATCACCCCCACCTATCATCTGGAGCTGGTACAATTGGCCAGAAGTGGCCGCAGTACAAGGGACTTACTCCCACCCCACTAAAAGTAAAAAAAAAGTAAAGCTATCCCTGTAACAGGCCATGAAGGCCCATAGGGTTGTGAGATGTTGAGGGTCCCACATTATCTAGACAATCGGCTCAAAGATGGCGGTAAGGTTGTCAGAGCCTTACGCGCCGGCCACACTTTACTCCCCAGGAGTATTATTTAATTAATTCCTGGTACTCATTTCTGTTAGAGGCTGAGTTAACCCCAGGGCCATAGTGCGGCCAGAAGGATTAGATCAATTGAAAAAAATCCAATGACCTCATCGGGACTTGAACCCGCGACCTTCCGGCTTGTAGCATAGTGCCTCAACCACCCCACTAGCAATAAAAAAATAGATCTACATTTCAGGGTCTCTTCCAGCGGTGACTAATAAGAGTAAGCCTTCTGGGATGTGACGCCGTGTAGTTCGGTAGAAAGTCGTGGAAGTTACGGAGAAACTTCCAGCTCCTAGCTTTAGGGTCGAATATGTGCTAGACAAGCAACGAGAGATGATCACATAGCAAACTGAGCACATGGTCCTGAAGATGGAGGCAGATTTTCTGTCTGAAACACTGTGTCACATCTCAGGAGATGGTACCACTCGTCTGTATACTTGTTCGCTGTAGCAGACACAGCGGAGCACCGTTGGATAGGAATGGGCGGGGATATGCCTGGATCCTAACAAGACAAGGTATAGGCGGTTGGGGGGGGGGGGGNTCACCGCAACACAAATTATTATCATCATCAGGGCTTGGAGGCCAGTCACCACTTTGCGTGCCTTCGGGTGCGCCAGGATAACCATTATTTGTCTTAACAGAGACTGAGAAGGCTTCACAGTACTGGTCAAAAATGTCGCAAACTTTCGACAGCTTCATAAATCAAGGGACCGGAGTAGGTGGCTCAAATGTTTAAAACTTATTCCATGCCGGACAGCGGATTTCTTTCTCTCTTCCTCTCTTCTGCTTCTTCCTTCGTCTCTCCTTTCTCTCTGTACTTATCTCTCCCTAACCGATTCTGGCGGTAGTCAGTATAGCGACTGGCTCCGAGCTGGATGACAGAGGGGTCGGAGTTCGAGTCCCTGTAGGCACAAGAATTTTCTCTTCTCCACGTCATCCAGACCGGCTCTGGGGTCCATCGAGCCTCCTATCCAGTGGGTACCTGGGGCTCTTTCCCAGGGGTAAAGCAGCCGGGAAATGAAGCTGACCACTCACCTCTATCTAGTGCCGAGCTCAAGAAAATGTGGATCTATACATTCACTCCCCCACACGCCTTCATGGCGTAGTGTTTAATTAGTTAAGCACAGATAAAAGTTTACCTTAACTTACTTTAACCGACTCCATTTTATCTATGATTTGAGGTTCTGGCAGCAGTGTTTAAGAAGAGTTAGTTTCATATTCAGGGATATAATGCCGTGTTATACGCTGAAAGTCAACAGACGTTTCGGAGCAACTTGTCGCCTCAATTTTCATGGTCGAAGAATAAGCCAAGCAACGGAATCTTTTCCTTCTTTCCAAGATGGAGATTGAATACTGCACCTTACTGCCTGTCTGTGTATACCCCCAACTCCTCAGACACCCTATCGTTGCTAGGCAACGGCTAGGTAAAATGTTTCCGGGTATAATGAATACGCATGTAGGACGCGTTTCATATGCGGTCCGTGTCATATCAAAGGAAAGGAGTGTTATAACCCAGAAGATAGTACTCTTCACAACCAACGGTGTGAAAACCTCAAACCCTACAAACATATTCAAAGTGCTTACTCAAACGTCAAGTGGAGCTGGGATAATTCAGCCGGTATAGCGACGGGTTATGGGTAGACGGCCGAGGAATCAGGGTTCGATTCCCGGGGGGATAAGAGATATTTCTCATCTCCACAGAGTCTAGATCGCTTCTGGGGTCCACCTAACCTCCTATAAAATTCGTACCTCGAACTCTTTCCTTGGAGGTAAAGTGGCTTGGGCTTGAAGATGATTGCTCATCTCTTATCAAGTGCTTAGGTTAGGAATAGTGGAACTACACCTCCACTCCCCCAGACATCTTAATAGCGTGGCGTTTAATACAGGGACAAATTTACTCATTTTACTTGATTAAAAAATAAAATAATCTCAATTGATACACAACCATTTGGATGGAAAAGAAATCAACATTTTAACTTCAGTAAGACTCCTGACTGATATTTTCCTCAGTTTCTCTAGAGAAGAGCACGGACAGCACCCTCAGCACTCTTCTGCCACCCTCTATCCGCAAAAGTTGACACTAACTTCGCCGACAAGCGACGGTCGCTCGGTCGGCACAGTTCGCTTGCAGACTACATTCCACGGATTTTCTTTGTTTTATATTCTTATGCACTTTCTTTCTCTCCTCTTGCTCCCACTTCGGAGCACAGGGCTGATTTCTCAGTTTCATGATAATTTTACAGGCGGTAGGACTCCTTGGACGGGTGATCAGCTCGTCGAAAGGCTTCTACCTAAACACAGGACAACACAGACACAGAATAAACATATACACACACCAAACATCCATGTCTTGTTTTGGATTCGAACCCACGATCCTGGCTTCAGAGCGAGCGAAGACAGTACATGCCTTAGACCGCTTGGTTACCGGCTCTTCTGCATTTATCAATGGAAAATAATAATAAAGTTTTACAAATTCCAAATTTTCTAAACGTTCTAGTTGCTATACCTACAGACTTACATCCATCGAAATTATTATCATAACCAAGTACGCCAAGAATAATTATCACCAACTGTTTCATAAATTTGTGGGAGAAAGAAAATCATATTCTCGGGTATATAAATCGACAGTGTAATGTTCTCAGTCTGTTTATAAATCTAGTTCTTAGTTCCTAAACATTCGCGGGATATTACACATAAAATACTGTAGCGATATGAATACAAAAAGAAAACAGAATTCTCAAAATTTTTCTTACAAACGCATAATCTTTTTTTTTACATATAGATATAATTGTCTGATATTAAGTAAAAGAGGCCCTATAAAACTGGTTAAACAATTTACATATCCTGGCAGGCTATAGGCTATATTTAGTAGTTCGATAAGGAATTCCGCTCACGCAGCCAATAACACAGAATGTCTCATGTGTATATGCCGGTACATACAAAAACACTGTATGTTGCTAATCGGAAAAGGACGACAAATAGCTCGATAAAAGTTTCGAAAAAGATGTCAGTTTTATTCATACTGTGTATATTATGTTTTTTTTTCTTTCTGACTTAAGTCATAAATTAGCATCAAGTACGAGTAAGATACTTTTAGGAATATTTTATGGTCGACGCTGTATTTTTAAGTACTGTATACATTTTTTATTTCATGGCCGTATTGTGGTGCCCTCGAGGTTTTCACTCTCGCCCTAATCCCTGTACATGTTGATGCCTACAGGCTATTAATACGCGGTTGTTCTCTGGAGAGGAGTGTAATATGTAGAAAGGCGTTAATTTAATGTAAACATTGTACGATATCTTCTTTTGGCGACAGAGGCATGTCCAAAACAGCTTTTAGGAAGCTGTGTCACGGATATACCCGTAGCGTCCACCCACGCGGGGTAAAGCGGCAAGAGATAGAAGCTGACCGCTCTCCTTCATCTAGTGCCGAGGTTAAGAATGGTGGAGCTATACCTCCACACCCCCATGTCTTCACGCACTTAATAAGGTGAATTATAGAGTGGAACTTTCAGGTGGACGGCGAGAGATAATGGTAAAGGTAACATTGTTCCTGTTCGTAAATTAGCACGACCCCATGAAGACGGAAGAAGGAGCGAAGATATAGCTCCACGCATTCTTAACCTCGACGATAGATGGAGATGAATCGTGAACTTCACGCTCCGACTGTTTTACCGCGGGGTAACAACCCCCCCATGTCTGTTGGATAGGAGACTAGGTGGCCCCTCAGAGCCGGTTGGACTCTAAAAATACCCCACCGATGCCGGAAATCAAACCATGATTCCTCCGTCCTCCAGCTCTTAGCCCAGCCACTGTACTGCCTAAGCTATCCTGGCTGTATCAATGGGGGAGATTACAATATTAAAATGGATCTTAACAGTGCATAGACTATATAGGA